CGTTATTTTTCATTTGTTGATAATCTCCCTGATCTTACAATTAACAATCAAAGCATTCCCAAATCTGTATCTGTTAAATTAAATACCTTGGTATCACCCTTACCCATAATCTGTACTGGTCTGCTCATGTCATCAACGTTTTCACAAAAGTTCGAAAACTGTCCTTACTGTGCTTACAGGCTCAAGAAACTGGCCGTACCGCATAATCTTATTATTAAATTTGTGATTGCCTGCATTGTTCCACACTGGCTATAATGCTCTGCGACTTTTATCCCCGGACTGAAAGAAAAAGACTTCTCTTTATTTTCAAGATCCCTTAAACTTTTGTCCCGCTACAGTGGAGTTGATAAAACTGTTTTAGTTGATTTCTTTATTTCCAAGCATCTTGACGCTTGTGATACTTTCATTGACAGGATAACGCATGCTCAAGGGCACTGTCTGCACCAAGAAATCGCGAAAGCCCTGTCAATTCCCCAAATATCAACTCCTTCCTGCGCGGACTTCCACATATCGAAACAGTGTAATTTCTTACCTAGCTCGTTTACTAGTAAATCGTCAACATATCCTCACCCACCTCAGGGAAAAACTCTTGCCCTAATTTTTTCTCTCATTTAATAAAGTGCAGAATTTTTTATACTGTATTTTTTTGTTTACATTTATTTTAACTATCCACTGTAAAACTCATAAACTGCTGAAAGTTCACCTTTTGGGTGCATAAAGCTTTTCTTGACTTGACTTGACTTGACTTGAATATGCCACATATTCATATGTTGTTTACACGTGGGATTGATTGGGGAAAACAAAACACACGAAAGGATATCTATTGAAACTAACCCAGATGAGATAGCGTTTTCAAAGTTCATCTGTTAGCATATGAGAAAATTTTCTCGATCCTTTGGGGACTCTATCAAAGTTTCCCCTATTTCGCTTTCCTCGTTTAACCACTACCGGGATATGAATATGCTTCGGCAGAGAACCAGTACTACTCATAATAATCTGAGACACAGATCTGTCCCAGATTGTCATAAACATTTGCACAAGTCAGCACACCACACAGTCAACCCTTCTCGATTTCGATCTATTTCCAATTCCAGTCAGTCCTTACGTGCTTCAGGCTCGTACCATTAACATCAACTCGAATCAACACTTGGAATTTCTCGGCCTCACTTCCCTCCGAACAATTGCACATCCAACAATCCTGATCACGGGAAATCCAAATCTGTGTTTCACAGAAACCATAAAATGGGACAGTCTGATCCCGAATAGGACTAATCCGTCCGGTCTGAATTCGGATTGGAATGCGAGTCAGACGGCCCCGTTTCCCGGCACCGTACGAACCGGGCGAGTTGGACGAGAACCGTACTTGGCTCTACGCGAACGCATAGAGAAGGAGATTGAGCGAAGAGTATTGCAAAATCTACTCGGTCAACTGCCCAGCAAAGTGAATCGCCCACGATCCTATTCAATCCCAACCATTTTTATTCATGGAAACGCACATCCGGAGTTTTGTCGTAAGTTTTCACACATTGATAAAGCACAAACAATGCATTGGACTACAGCCAGTAGACGGAACAAAATTGTTCAATAATATGTATGAAAAACACCTCCAGTTAACACGTTGTTGCTGATTGGTTCACTGAGGTCGGTCTCGCACGTTTTCACATTTCTCATCACAAAGACCAGATTCTTGCGGAGGGTTTCAATTGCAATGGAGGATTCCTCCACAGATTGTCCACCTGAAAGCAGCTTTTCCGTGATATGAGAGTCATTTGAGGGCTGTGCACTGGGTCTAAGGGGAATTCGAATGCACATATAAAAAAGTCGGGCGAGATCGAAATGTAGGAATCGAACCAGATTCGAAGGTAGCCCATTCGACACGCTAAGCAATCAGACAGCTCGGTAGGAATTGGGCATTTCTTTGCAAATATTTTCCAAGATTTCAAATGAAAATTCCTCGTGTATATAGCAAATGAAGCGTGAACTGAAAAGCTCGGAAGCACTGGACAGCTGTTTCGACCTGGTTGAGTCTCATCAGCAGTGCGAATCCATTAACCCGACTGGGGATCGAACCCGGGACTTTGCAAGATTTCTTCCTAAAAGGTTTCAGATGAAATCGGAGAAAAACTACTCAATTTCAGTCTCTTGAATAGAGGACAATTAGTACTGTGGCTCTTCCAGCCCACCACAGAGTGTTGTGTGCACTCAAAAGATCGCTGCCAGATGTCCAGAAGCAGGTGCATTGCAATAAATTTTCATTTCCGTAGCCTAGGTGATTAAGAAGACAAAACTTGAGAAAAAAACAGTTTTTCTATCAGTCTTTTGATTTCCCACACGATGATATGGCTGGGTACAAGTATAGTTGCACAGTGTCAAATTCAATAACCAGTGATGATCTCATTTTGGAGTTGTGGTGACCCAGGGGTAACGTCACCAGCTTATCATCCCGGAGGACGTGTATTCGAATCCCATCACCACTGCCTGACTTTGTCATTATGTATTGTATGGCAGCCCTGTGATTAGCCACATTCCCCGTTCCTGAAAATTGTATCATTGTACATTCAATAAAGGTAAGTATAAATTTTAAAAAACATAAAAAGAATTGTGGTTCGTTAAGTGCTCCAAAAACAGTTGTCGGTCCTTGAGTTATTTTAGATTTTCCGTGGTCAGCACGTGATTGAATGCATAAGGTAGGTGTTACAGATAGGTGGATTGTTTTTCTTTTTTTTTCATTGAACGTACGCATACATGCAGCCCCCCTCCCTAAGAAAAATTGGTATAGCTTCACATGGAGTGTGATTAGTAACTCTCAGTACAGCTTTGTCGGGCGCGGCAAATGCTGTTCGATCCCGTTTTTAGTGGTTAAGAACAGTTAGTCAGTGCTAGAAATCCCCGTCGGAATCGGAGTCGAGATCACTCAATCTTCCGGCCGCACGAGAAAAATGTAAGGCTGCCGTCAGACGTAGCTAGTATCTATTGACTTTTAAATTGCATATAAATTTGGAAGTCGAGGGGGATTTGAATACTGAGAGATTTTTCATCTGGGACGATCAGTGACACGTCCGGCGGTCGACGAGGAAAGACCACTGAGGAAATGAATCGACTTCAGTTGAGTACCGTGAACTAGCTCTTAAATTACTTCAGTTGTAACTCCATCGGTCTGTAGTTCTTCTCCTCACTCCTAAATCTGATTGTCAACGTTCGCGCACCACTATTTTAGCCACACTGCACGAGTCTGATAGAGAAACCGAACAAATAATGGAATAGTTAGCTGCCATCGCCCACTGCTGCAAGTGCTCAACCTCCATAGACTGAGTTGGTTTCAACATGTCTCGTGCATATCACCA